AGTTGTTCCCGTGGATTATTGCTATTGAGTGCTTTTTACGATGGGTGACTTCGCGACGCTAGTTTCTGTTTTAACAGTTCGCCCGTGCGCGACGCTCGCAAGTTAAGTGAGGAGGAAATCGTAAATAATTTTTTGGATACAGACATTTTCGATGCCGATACGATTTCCTACGTTTTGGGTAATGCTCATAATGTTAATATTCTTCAGGGTTTCCGGGGAAGAGGGTATCTAGTGCGAATATTTCGATTGTTTCGCGGAGGTTTCCATAAAGGAAACGTGATAAATTATTTGGCGCGTTACGACGTTGAACGCGGTGATATTCCGACACAACCAAGTTTTTCTGTCCACGGAGCCTTTTATGGGCGTTGGAGAAGATGAGAGTGTTCTTGGTGATGAAACGGACGATGATGCTCAGTCCGCGTAGTCATCGGATTCTGCTCGTTTCATTACTTCTCCTGGGCCCATTGATTTTCTGGAGGAGACTATGGTTCCTGGTGTTATTGGTGATGAAGATTTGTTAATTGATTTTCCGGAGGAGGAGGAGTTTGAAAATCTCTCCTCCCTTACTTAACTCAGAATTAATCCTTACATAGTTACTTTTACTTTTTTTTGCAAGCTGAGTTATTCTTTTAGTGTGTAGTGTGTAATGCGCAAATTTTATTTTATTGGATATTTTCAGAGCGCTTCCTTGGAATCTTATTTTGGTGAGTCTTCTTTATTTCTATTTATTTATTAGTTTTAGTTTTCTGCGAATGCTTTCATTCGCTTATCGTATGACCAATTTTTATTTTGTAATTTACTTCGGACAGTTTTTCGATAATTATGTACGATCCATTGCGCTTCTAATTTCTTTGAGCGTCCTTATCTAACTGTCTCGTCGTACAGTAGAACCTGTTCGCCTATTTGAAAAATTTTCATTCTCGCGTTTCGAGTATCGTAGTATTTCGATTTTACTATTTCGATTTTATCTTTTCTTGCTTTACACATTCTCTCGCTACTTGGTTCGTTGCACGGATTTTCTCTCGTAATTTTTGTACGTAATCGTCATACGAATAAGTTATCTTTGGTGGTTTGATCAGGGCTGTCGATAATTCCGTTCGGTGCTCGTATATTAATTCGAATAGTGTGAATCCCGTCGCCATATGTGGCGTATGATACGCAAACATTGCGTAAGGTAACCATTCATCTCAATCTGTTTGGTTCTCATTTATGTAATGTCGAAGATATTCTGCCAAAGTTCTGTGTGAGTGTTCTAATGCTCCATTATTTTCAAGATGATAGGCTATTATTTGAATCTTCTCGATCTTCAACAACTTGCATGTATTTTTAAATATTTCACTCATGAAATTCGTGCCTTGATCAGTTAAAATCTTTTCGGGAATTCCATGTTCGGCAACTATTTTGGTGACAAAGGTTTTTGCCACCGTATTTGCTTCTTGATTCTCTATCGGAATCGCTTTCCCAAACTACTTCGTTAAATTATCTTGAAAAGTTAAAATATATTTGTTTCCGGCGTTCGTAATGGAGTAGTATAGTGGTCCTATTATATCAAGCGCATATTTTTCGAACGGTTTTTTCAGCGTGTCGGTAATGACCATTGGCAGTTTGATTTTTTTATTTAGTTTATTTTTCTGACAGAGGTTGCATTTGTTAATATAATCCTCCACGTCGCGCGTTATGCCGCGCCAATTATGTAATGGTTTAATTCGATTCAGAGTTCGTGTGACTCCTTGATGCCCCCCTGTCGGCGCATCATGATATTTATAAAGTATTTGTCGCTTTTTTTTCAGTGTATTCTCGTTTTATCTCTTTCGTCATCGCTTCTCTCTTCGTCGTGTGCGACGATGTTTAACTATGAATCAAGAGTGATCAGATTTCTACTTAGTGCATCCGCGTTTGTATTTTCTTTGCCTGCCTTGTGAATAATCATACTTAAGTTCTTCTAACTTGAATCTCCATCGTATCAATCTAGATCCAGGGTCTGAAACGCTGAATAGCCAAACTAATGGTCGGTGATTATTTTAAATTTCGTTCCGTATAAATACGGTCGGAAGTATTTAATCCCCATACTATCGCTAGAAACTCTTTCTCAGTAGTATTATAATTTTGTTCTGCTTTATTTAATACTCTGCTGACATAGGTCTATATAGATCTTGACCTATTCGTTCTTGTGATAATATTGCTCCGTTGGCGTAATCGGACGCGTCGGTAGTTACTAAAAATTCTTTAGTAAAATCTGAATAATTTAATATTGGTGCCGTAATTAATTTTTCTTTTAGTGTCTGGAAAGCGTATTGTTGCTCATTACTCCAATTAAATTTTTTTTTCTTTTTTGTTAGTTTTGTTAGAGGTTTGGCAATTTTCGAAAAGTCTTGAATGAATTTTCGATAGTATCCGGCCAGTCCTAAAAATGACTGTATATCTTTCATCCTTTTTGTCGGAAATTTCTCTACCGCTTGCAATTTACGGGGATCAGGTTGATTTTCCGTAATAATATGTCCTAGATAAGTAACTTCTTTTCTAAAAAATTCGCATTTATCCGGCTGCAACTTGAGATTATGATCTCTCAGTCGTTGCATTACTTCAGTTAGTCGTTTATTGTGTTCGTTCAATGTCGCACCGTATATTACTATCGTCAAGATAAACTAGACATCTGAGTTCTTGAATTCCGGTTAACATCGAGTTCATTAGCCGTTGGAATATCGCGGGTGCGTTTTTAAGTCCGAACGACATTCTATTAAATTCATAGTGTCCATACGGTTTAGAAAAAGCTGTTTTACTTTTATGTTCTTCCTTCATAGGAATTTGATGGTATCCGGAAGTGTAACATTGAAAAATACTTTGCATTTCTCAGCTGATCTAGGATGTTTGTTATATTTGGTAGTGGAAAAGAATCTCTGATTGTTAGATCGTTTAATTTTAAAAAATCCACTACGATGCATAATTTTGTTTCCCAGATGCATCATTTTTGGGTACTACTAGCAATGGCGCATTCCATTGACTCGTACTGTGACGTATTATTCCGTCATCTTTTCAATCTGCCGATTTATTTCTGTTTTATGTTTCTCCGGCAATCTATAAGGTCGCACATTTACAGGCGCGCTATCGCTATGTGTATTTATTTCATGTGCTATTGTCGTAGTGTGAGTCAGTGAATCGTTCTCTACGTGAAATACGTCGCAGAAGTCAGAGCATATCTGCGTTAATGCCTTCTTTTCCTCGTGATTTAGATGTTTTGTTCGTAGCAATTTTTGTAAGCATTCTTGCCGTGACTACTGTAAGTATGGCCGTCGCTCTCGTATAACGTGAGCCTCTCTGCGGCGTTACCCAACTGCATGGCGTCT